TAACCATTGCATTACCAGGGCTCCCTCAATAAAATGCTAACACTTATTAGGTTTCTACTGCATACTAGACATTTAAAAAATAATAATAACTAACATTTATTGAGTGTTTCCTCTACTCAATAGAATACAAGAAGAAGGCAGACAGCTACTACAATTCTTTTCACCAGTATCCAGGAATTCAGATACTATAAATCATGAAGCTAGACATACAGAACTTACTGGAAAAGTTTTGGGCCTCTAACTTTCTAATTCTAGTTTTAATTTTTTCACTTCTGTAAATCTCCTGAAATAAGGTCTGTGTGTTTGTCTTTGGGATCAGCAAAAACTAAGGACCCTAATTTTTCCTTCACATCTGGTTGCACCTTAAGACAGGAACAAGGGTGAAGTGTGAGAAGAAAGATCTCAGGAGAAAAAGTTAATGGAGGCAGGGGAGAAGGAAGGGAATCAGTTGAAGATGAAAGAGTAGATCTGGGACTAATTGGTATAACCCATGCGTGAAAATCAAAATGGGAAAATTTGAGGAAGTTTTGAGAAAGGTTACCCTTTATATTCATTGTAATGTAAATGAGCTAAATTTATTTGTCTCATTCCACAACCACACTTTTCCATGTTTTGTTTAGATCCTTCCTAATTCTACCAAAGCCCTTTTAATTCTGAGGCTTGCACTTCTGAGACCTTTGCCTTTCATAGAAAAAACACTTGCATTTTCTTTTTTCACTTAAACCTGGTGGGGAATGTTAAAAATTCTCATCTGGTATTGATGGTGATAGCCACGTGTCTTTGGGTACACAAAGTACTGGATTCTGACTCATGGATTTCAGAGGGAAATCTAGGCTGTACAACTTTGTATCTGGCAATGTGATGGGCATGTAGTTACGCAGGCTTAATGCACTAATAAATGAATGAATCAATATTTCTGAAGTGTGTCTTTATGTTTTTTTCAAAGGAAGATAGTCCTTATGCTGGAGCATGAGTCCTGGGCTGAGGGTACAAAGGTACCTGAGGCAAAGGTAAGGTAATGGGATTTCTGATGAGGTGTGGGAGGAAGGTTAAGGAGGATCTTAGTTTGCATTTTGTTGTTGTTGTTTTCTTTGTGTTGTTGTTTTCGATCTCAGGTTCTGAATAAGAGCCATTCTTAAATCTGTCTTTAAGTCAAATTTGTAGTTAAGTCAGTACAGATACATACACTTCTTATTTAGCATCAGTTAGTCAAATGTTTGTCTTGGTGCACAGTATATATTTTATAGATATAACACAATTAAGAAACACTTCCAAATCCACTAAAACATATTACATATAAAAATACAGTGCATAATAATAATAATACAGTAATAAGAGTAACTACATACAGCATTGTACTGAAGAGAGCAGAGAAATAGAAACTCTGTGTGTGCGTGTGTATATGTGTATGTGTGAAGGTATATAGTAGTGTCAGAAAATTAAAGAAATAGTTCTTAGAACAGTTGAGATAGAAAAAGAAAGAAAAAACATCATGATTAAAGTTTAACACTTTGAAGTCATTTGCACTAAAGTAAGGTTAATAGGGGAGCTCTGGTGGCATAGTGCCTAAGGCACTTGACTGCTAACCGGAAGGCTGGCGGTTCAAACCCACCAGCCACTCCTCGGAAGGAAGATGGGGCAATCCACTTCTGTAGTGATACTGCCTTAGAAACCTAAGGAGGGGTCGCTATGAGTCGTGTCCGACTTGACGGCACATAACAACAAGGTTAATAGGCATATTACATTGATTTTGATCATCAAAATTATCGAGTCTTTCCATTTCAATAATTAAACCACTACATTGCTTAGTAATAATTGCAGCTTTCATCAGAACAGAGCCTTTCATATGCTCCATTATTTTCATTTTACCCTTTAAAATTTTTCCTATTCTTGACAAACTGCAGCCTACCAATGGCCATTGGTGTTTCACTTCTTTCTGGTTGCTTTTTTATTTCCTTTTCTTTGGTGCATTATCAGCAATTGCATCAGACTTACACTTTGGAGGCATGATTATAAGGGTAAGTAAGAGGAAAACTTAAGCCAAATACAAAATTACACACTCAACGCAGTTTAAATGGCAACATGATCCAACTTAAAAAGGCGGTGGCATTCTCCCTCCTGGGGTGGATGGATCCCTGGAGCCACACAATGTTTTCATAAGCATCAAAAAGTAGTGTGAACATTCATCATTATGAACTACTGTGTTTAACTCAAATTTTAATACAATAGGCTTTATGGAAGTCTATTCTTAAGTACAAATCAATGTTCTTAACCCAGGGACTTCCTGTCTATATTATTTCAACATTTGCTTGGTTGTCTTTTAATTTTCTCTTTTTCCCTCCCCTGCCTCCTTCCCTTCTCCTGCCTTACCACCAAAGACCATATTCTCACGAGGAATTGGGCAGATGTAAGGGTGGAGGACTCGACCCGATGTTCCTGTCTGGGATGATTCTATTGCAGTTGAACACTAGTGTGTGAGAAGGCAGACAGCATTGGAAGGAAGCTGTGGGCATGAATGGTCCCATTTTCAAGTTAAGTGACAATCTGAGAAGTTTTTTAAGCAAATTTATAGTGGAATGAAAGTGATATTATGGACAAAAAAAATCCTCTGCTTTTTCACATGTTTTCTTCCTTCTATTTTCGAATGAGTATGGCTGTAGTGCCTAAGGCATTTGACGGCTAACCAGAAGGGTGGTGGTTCAAAGCCACCAGCCACTCCTCAGAAGGAAGGTTGGGCAATCTGCTTCCGTAGAGATACTGTCTCAGAAACCCAAGGAGGAATAGCTATCAGTCGAATTGACTAGATGGCAGTGAGGTTTTTCTTTGTTTGTTTGTTTTATATACCTAAAGTTTATTTTGATTATTTCATCCTATTACTTGGATGAGAACATTATTTGGTTCTGATAATTGTCATGATGATTGAAGACAAAAAATATGTTATAAATAGCATGGGACTCTTATACTATACAGATTATACCATATTTACTCTACTACCCGTCTGTCAGTTTGCCATCCTGTGATGTTTTGCATGTCGAAGCCATGCCACCAGCATTCACATATTAGCAGGGTCACCCAGAGTGAACAGATTTCATTGGTGCTTCCAGACTAAGGCAGAGTAGGGAGAAAGGCCTGGCAATCTACTTATAAAAATTCAAATAAAAACCAAACTCACTGCCATTGAGTCTATTCCAACTCACGGTGACCCCCACTGGGTTTCTTTAAAAATCAGGGGTTACTTTTGAATAGATTAGTATTCAAAGGGTCAGTAAGATCTTATCCACCACTTGACAACTGCTAGAGTGAGGGAAATGTGGCCACAAAACCACTAAACTGAGAAACTGCTCTGAAAGCATTTCTAACTTGAAAATCTGTCCAAAAAAAAAACCGGAAAACATGCATACATCCCAATAGTTTTCTTGTGCTAGCAGAGAGCAGGAATAAGAACTGAACAATAACACTGATGATTCAAGAACACTGCCTAATCATATTGGTAAACCTCTTCATTTTATAAATCTGTGAAAATCCCATGGACATTTTTAAAATATTTCAACAGATAATTTAGGACTCATGGATTCTTGGCTGAAGGCTTATCACTGATGTTTCTTTACTATCAGTTAACTTTGAAGGGAAGACATTTCCTACTTTAGCTATCAAAATTAATATTTTTATCTAATATATGTTTGTTTTGGGAGCTCTGGTAGCATAGTGGCTAATGCACTTGACTGCTAACCAGAAGGCTGACAGTTCAAACCCACCAGCCACTCCTCAGAAGGAAGATTGGGCAATCTACTTCTGTAGTGATACTGCCTCGGAAACCCAAGGAGGGGTCACTGTGAGTCGGGTCCAACTCGATGGCACATAACAACAACAACCACAACCACAACAACATATGTTTGTTTAAATTTTTACCTAGACCAAAGGCATTGAGACACTGATCTGTTATTGTTATATATGCTTTTTCCTATTTTAGAAGTTTAATCTCCTCTTTATAATTTTTCATAGGAATAAAATTATTTCATAGAAAAAATTTTTCACAGGAAAAATTCCTCTAATGTCACTGTATTATCCATATAAAGGAACCAAAACCCACGACCATGGAATTGATTCCAATTCTTAGTGGCCCTATAAAACACAGTAGAAATGCTCCATGGGGTTTCCAAGGCTGTAAGTCTTTGCAGAAGCAAACTGCTTTGTCCTTCTCTACCGAAGTGGCTGGTGAGTTTGACTGCATGCCTTAACCACTGCACTCCAGAGCTCCTGTGCTTATCTATATAAGGTATTTATTTAAATTCAAGCTAGCCTCAATATCAGTTCATAACTTTCAATTTTCAGCAAAGTGAAATTAATGTTAGTCTACGTATTTCTAAAAAAGATCTGATTTATCAGTAATTATGCTTGCTTAATAATATTTAAGAGCATGAGTTTGTTTTTCTTTCATTTTAATAATTTTAATCTTCCAAACAATGTGATTGTCCATTGTTATTGTATCTTTGAACACCAATTTCAATTTTTCTATATAGCTATTCCTGATATTTCCATTCCTGACTTCCTAAAGGTTTGAAAGGCTATTTCTAAATAAAATTTCCCATAAGTTCTGTTTTAATGTTTGTGATCTTACTCATTTTTACTTGCCACAAACTTTATAAAAAATGATGTTAGCTCCAACAAAAATGTCTGTAAAGGCCTGTTCAAAAGTTAGAATTTAGTATATATTTTTATATGTGTGAGAGTGATGTGATGCAAAATAGGCTTAGTTGTGTGTGCGTATGTGTGTGTTTCAATTACTGAAATAACATTGTAAATCTCTTCCTACTCATATCTTAAATTTTTTAGAATTTTCAGTCTTGCGAAAGGACATATCTATGTGTTTATAAATCTTAGAAATAACAGACTTACTTTTGAAAATAAACATGTGGGAAATGTTAACTCACTTGTGACCATGCACTAGTGCATTTCCAAGCTATTCTAGGGGGACAGAAATCACAGAAACTAGTTCTTACCTCTTGAAGGTCGGAAAACAATGCACATCACTAATAACGCAAGTACAGCAGAGGCGGCAACTCCAAATACAATTTTTAACCATGTCTATATATAAAATAAAGAAAATTATACATATACACAGTTCCTGCCAAATAGAAACGGCAAGAATTTGTTTACACTGAAATCCTACTTCTCTCTCCCCACAAAGCTTTTGATTGTCTTCCACTGATCTGGCTATAATTGCTGGAAGTCTTCCAACTCTGCAAGGACAAATGTTTCTACAGTGTATTTAGAACAATTTCCCCACCCCAGTCCACTCCAGGAAGTAAATACTTATGTACAAATCCTCACCTTCTAAACAGTAGAAAACTCTGATTGCATTCTATTCAGTCAACCTTCTTTCTTTAGCAATACCTGAGGCTGCACATACTAACCTTCATTTTTCCAGATGTTTTTGAAAGTTAACGAATTCTGACTTTCAAGCGTGGGTCACTGGATCTGTGAAAAACGTTGAGAAGAAGAAAGATTGTCTTCGCAGTTGAAAGCCGGAGCCAGGACAAGGGTTTTTTTTTTTTTTTTTTTTTCCTACATACTTTTGAATACCGTGCCAAATTTCAAAAGATTTCTGTAAAATTAGAAACAGATTTTGGGGGCGTTCTTGGACTTGAAATGAACTGTGAGTGGCTCTAGGGAGGTTTTATAGCCTTCTCATCCTTGTAAATTCTACACCAACATCTGCTTACGTTGACATACAGAGGTTTCTATTTTTTTTTTCCCCATACAAATTCAGGTTTATGTTTTATTTTCTTCTAGAAAATCACTCACAGATTGCTCTGGCAAGTCTTTGGGGTTTGTATAACCTTTCTATTTGCAACCAAAAGAAGAACTTAAAATGATACAATTTTTCAAGTATATACATTATACAAATACCTAATTTTTAGTGGAAGAAGAAAAATTGGAGTCACATAGGATTTTGTGAGAATATACCATATAACTACTTTTTCTTCCTCTGGGAGATGATAAGGTACTCAAGATAGAAATATTTTCCCTTCAGCACAATTTCTTTGTCCATATAGCACCATATGCACTTTCAGCAAATACAGAAGTTTAAAAATTCAACTGTCTAAATCCACAACTACTTTAAAGAAATGAAATGCCATCTGGTTAAATTTAGTACCAGTTAGGTGTGTATGCACAGGCAAGAAAGATGTAAAGATCAGTAAGAATAATTTACCAACAGATCTTTCGAATAATGCAAAAGTGGTATTTTTTTTCCTTCTCAGAACATATTTTGAAAGAGGAGAGTATTTGATAACCATAAAGTCTTTAAATAAATAAAAAAGCATTCAAAAAGAAAAGTAAGTCTTATGTACATTTTGACTGAATCTACATAATTAAAAAAAAAAAAAACTTTCCAAATTGACAGATTCAGTAAAATCACTGACTCAATTGAAACATAGAAAAAGCCCAATGGCTTTTGTATTCTAGCTGGGTCATCACAATTCAATTTAGATTCTATGATTTCACATAAAGACAATTTTTAACCTACTGTGTCTTTAGTTTTTCCACTAATGATTTTCTTTTGTAGAGAGTTAATAAAGTTCTCAATCTGATTAAAATAGATTTCATGGTGACTGTCAGAGATTATTCATGAAAGGTAATCAGAAAACATTACTGAAATCTGTTGCTGTTTGTTTTAGTTAACTAGAGGCTTACTCCAGCAAAGAGCAGGACAGTGGCTTGTGAACTTCCTCTCAGACCTTCTTCAGACACCCCTCCCTGAATTCCAGCCTTATGAAAATTCTGTTGAGGAAAATGAGTCATTAAGTACTTACTGGCAGAGAGATAGAGCCACTCTGGCTTCTGGAAGCGCCCTCTCCTTTACAGTTGATGGGGCCTGCTGCCCTTTATAAACTGAAACATTCATGAAGCTTAATAACCAAGTTACACTACACACTTGTAGGTGTCTTCATCTGATTGTTACATCCTCAAATCCAAGGTATATGTCTCCAGCCAGGACCCAGAAGAACTGCTTCTGTGTGAGTTCCCTCTGATTGACTGCCTCCTTTGGAACATTCACACAGCGTGCTCTCAGAAGTTCTGTCCTAGCCTGCCAAAAAGCCCCAAAGTCCACCATTACTTCTTAGTGGCTGACTTCCAAGACTATGTTCTGGAGAGAAACTAACTGTAATAAATGATTGGGGTGTAATTAAAATGAATATTATTAGCTTCAGCAATTAAAAAACACACTGACACGTGACTGGTCTGAGTACCCATTAGGATTCTATAGTCAAGTGTGGGTGTCACAAGAGAACCATTTGCCAGGTTTTATGGAAAAAGTAGGATGCTTTAAGAGGGTGGATTCAAGTTGCAACTGTTAGCAAAGGAAAAAAATGATGATGGTGAAAAATGTTTATTTAGCTTTGTTTGTTTTTTTACTTGGAAAGTTAGATGATTCAAATTGGAACTTCTGGAAAACTTTTACCAGTTTGAACTGTTTTAAGAAAAATGAGACTGACTACAAAATAAAGATGTTAACAAATTTTCCAACTGATTTCATGGTTTAGGGATTTATTCTTTATAATGGAGCTACTTATGTCCATCTTTTTGAGGTAATGTGTAAGTGTGCTAATTTTCATCCAAAAACTCTCACAAAAATTTGAATATTTTGAAACATTGTAACTCTTCTTTACTATTTTCTTTCCTTTTGGAGCCAAGTTTTTAAACATTAATGAAATAGACTGCTATTTTTATTTTATACAATTTGTTAATATCCAGTAGACATTTTTGTTGCCGTGACAAAAATCAATGAGACACACTGTGTTTTCAAGGAGATTACATGCTAGTATAATGGCTGCAGGTAAATGTAAGGCCACAGTAAGGAGAAGAGGACGCACAAAAGTGAGGTTAAAGAGAAGTTTTTATTCTGAGTTTCCGGGGGAGGTTTATGGGTCCCTGAGAGGGGCC